GTGCAAAGTTATCAGCTAATGCAGAAGTGCCTTAACCTGCATTTTTAAGATGCCACCAGGGGGCGGTAGCTGCCTGGTCCTGTAGAAGTCTGTGTGGAAACTGCCCTGTGACCTGACCTCTGTAAAGACATCCCTAACGACTTATAGGCCCAGTCGCTCATTTTCAATAAAACCGAGTTAGTTTTCTAAATTTGGATCATTCTAAAAATTATCCAGGACATGAGTCTGCTAGAGGACTGAAGTCACGTCAGCTACATCCGTCTTGTAACACTGTCCACATCCTTAACTTAAAGCCTTAACAGATTTGAAATATTTCACCCCCCATGCTGCTCTTAGTCTTCAAACGGTCAATAGAGACTAGAACCATATTTGTAGCAGTTACCATAGCAGCCTGTAAACATCAAAACATGTTTACAGCTGCTACGGTAACTGCAGCCTGACTCACTGTTGAAATAGCCTCCGGTGGACATCAGAGGAACTGCAATTTTTCCTTGTACTCCAAAATGCTTTTTTTTTTTTTTTTTTAAACCCTAAAAGCTGCTTAAATTGTTACCACATCACTAAGTTCAGCTCCTTTTACCTTAAATACTGACAATTTGAGTTATTTTAACAGACATGAACAGGACACGTGAGCAACACAGAAAGAAACCTTTCTAACAAGAATCACAAGGCATGTTACACGTGCTCATCCATAAGCCACGTTTGTATTGATTAATGTGTTTACATGGAGTAGTATTACCAAGCTAATCTTTGTGTTGACATGTAGCTACATCTGCACGTGCAGCAACACCCAAACAGATAAAAAACGTCTCATTCTGAATAATTTAAACAATCACTTATAATATTTAGGGTTTCCAAGTTCATAATTTTCTGTTTTCTTGTTAACATTTCTGCGTTTGTTGGACAAAAGAAAAAGGTTCCAGGAAGCTGTTACACACATTTCTTTGGCTTTTTAGCTAAAACAAGAGCATCGTGTTCATCAGTTAAAAGCTGTGCTGTTACAAAGTCTGCTCCACATATTGGAAGTTGTTTCACAGAAAGTATTGTTGATACGGTTTATGTTGAATGACAGTTTGTCTAATGTTTGGGTAATAAAATGGTTAAAAAGTGTTTTGCATCTTATTTCATGTGTAAATAATAATTCGTTTGTTCAATGTGGATCAGAATTTGCAGAAACTATCAAAAGCCTTCACAACCAGGTGCAGTGTTTGTGTGGTTTTTCCAGACTGTTATTGTAAATAAGAATATGTTTTTCATTACGTGGTTAAATAAAAGTTCACTGGCTTCAGGCACAATGTTGTGGTACAAAGTGATGCCACATGAAAGTACAGTTCAGTTTGAGTCGATATCTCTGCAACACAACACACAACGTGTCATTTCTTCACAGTCTGCCTTCATTTTCTCACATTAAATCTATTTTTAAAACAAAGTATATTTCGGTATTTAAATCCAGAGAACTTTTCAGTACTAACCATTTCAGGCTTGAGAACCTCGTTATCGCTTGTTTTGTTTTTTCCTTCTTCTTTGGAAAAACAATTTGTGGGACTAAATATTGTCAATATTTATGGCTTTAGCAGAAAATTAGACTACTGGTTGATTTGGTTTGATTTTGTGAGTTTATACAGAAAAGCTTGTTTTTAAAATCACATTTTCACTCATGTATTTGTTTAATATAGCTTTTACTCTTAAATAATTACTATATTCATTTACATTTGATTTGGTTAGACACGCTTATTAAAATGGGGAAGGCGGTACCGGAGCAAAAAGACTGGTAGAAAAACATATCATACATTTCTTTTTGTTTTCTTCTTTTATAACGAACAAGAGACTCACAAAAACAACAAATAAAATACATTTTAAAATAAAATATAAACGTGAGTTGATACAGGTTTCATCTCCCTAAGAAGGACAATCAAACGAGGAGTTATTGGGACGTTTTCATACCTGAAATTTGCTTGAAACAGTAAAAGGATACTTTGCACATGCGCACTGTGGATTAATTCCAGCCCCCGCCATCACTTCCTGGTCTGTATCGGAGAGCGCACATCAGGTGAGCGGCTACATTCAGGTAAGCTAACGGTGGAGTCCAAGGTCCTGCCTCGAGCCCGCGGTGTGGATCGTTCTGCTTCAGATACACGCACGCGCTGGATTGGACAATGTCCCCCGCGGCCGCCTTCCACGCGCAGCTCGCCTCCATCA